AGAACAATAACATTCACATAGCAGTTTGTTCTTTAATGAGTTCTTTGCTTTTCAGCATCTCATATGACTTCTTACAATCCTGTGAAGTCTGTATTATTATTATTATTATCTTTATTTAAAACATTAAAAACACCCTTAGGAGTCTGACTAGTGACAGAAATACTGAATATAAATTTAAATGTGTTCTCTTGAAAAAGTCAAGGATCTTTCTCCCACATTAATGTTAATAATAGACACAGAAATGATGCTGCAAGGAAATTGGAATGAATGTTAGAAATATAGGCAACTTTAAGTATTAGAAATCCATTTAAGAGTTATTTTTTAATGCTATTGTTGATTGCTGTCGAGTTGAGCACGACTCATAGCGACCCTATGAACAAAAGGCCTGAAGCCTTTCTATAACTATCGTCATTTACCAAAGTTCATAGAGTTTACAGAGACATGTTCAATTCTAGTGGCTTAGCAGTAAGAAGTTGTGCTGTCAAACCAAGGTATGCTGTTCAAATCCACCAGTGGCTCTGTGGGTGAAAATGGTCAATCGCTTCCCATGCAATTAACTGCCTCTGAAAACTTACTGAAGATTAGTTACATACCAGTTCCAACTCGAAGATACCCAACAACAAACAGGTAAGAAGCTGAATGAAAAGATAAATAGGAAATGGAAGAATAGCCTTATCCTCAAACATCAAAATTACTAATACTATTATGACCTTGATGGTTAATTAGGGATTACAGAAAAAACAGAGAAGTTGGATTTTGTTATGATGGACTTTCAGTTTTTAGTTTTGTAAAGTAATAAGACAACTACAAAAATTAATATATACACATATACATACCTTTCCATGACATGATAGTTATTAATATGGATAATAAAAGAGTTATTTTTATTCTCAGTGAATGAATCATAGTCTCTCTTGCTGTTCTTTGCCTCCTGCTCCCTCCCTTCACTGACATCCATCTCTGTTTGCAGACATGCTACACAAATTAGTAACTCATAACTTGTTGTTGTTGTTATGTGCCGTCGAGTCGTTTCTGACTCATAGCGACCGTATGCACAACAGCCCTAAACCCTGCTCTATCCTGCGCCAACCGCACCACCTCTGATACACCCATCCCGATTACCCCAGTCACCGAATCAATCCATCT